AGTGATGCAGCCACATCAATGTTTATAGCAGCTCAATTCACAATAGCTAAACTATGGAACCAACCTAGATGCCCTTCAACAGATGAATGGATAAAGAAAATGTGCTACATACACAGAATGGAATACTACTCAGCCTTAAAGAATGAAATTATGGCATTTGCAGGTAAATAGATGGAACTAGAGAATATCATACACAATAAGTACAATAGGCCAATCCCCAAAAACCAAAGGCTGAATGTTTTCTCTGGTAAGCAGATGCTTATTCATAATGGTGGGGTGGGAGTGTATGAAAGAATGAAGGAACTTTGGACTTTAGAGGGTAGTGAAGGGAGGGGTGGGACTATGGGGATGGGAAGGATGGTAGAATGAGATAGACTTTATTACCCTATTTACATGTATGATTACATTACTGGTGTGACTCAGCACCATGTATAGTCAGAGGAATGAGAATTTATGCCCATTTGTGTACAATAGAGCAATAGAAAAACTGTTTTCCCAATAGAAAGCCTCTTTGTCTTTAATACTTAGTTCTTATTGGATATACTTATTTCTTAGTACAGTTTCTTGTCAATAGTAATACAGGAAAAATTATATTTTCATCCCTAAATGTTATGGTTTAGAGATGAAGTGTCCTCCCAAACTCAAGTGAGACAACTCAAGAAAGTTTAGAGGTAAAATGATTGAAATATGAGAGCCTTAAATTAATCAGTATATTAATCCCCTCATAGGGATTAACTGGGTAGTAACTGTAGGCAGATAGGTGTGACTAGAAGAGATGAGTCATTGGGGTATGTTCTTGGGGTTTATATTTAGTCCATGATGAGGAAAGTCATGTTATTAGCTACTTTCCTCTGCAACACCCTCTGCCATGATATTCTGCTTCACCTTGGGCACAGAGCAATGAAATCAAGCATATAAGGACTGAGATCTCTGAAACCATAAATGACAAACTTTTTCTCCTCTAGAAGTCTTTTTATCAGGTCTTTAGGTTACAGCAATGAAAAAGCTAAAACTCTGTAAAATACTGTTATGAAAATAATTTGCAGAAAAACATTTGTGTTGCAATAAAAATACAATTGGTAGACTGTCACAATCACATGTAGAAATGGCTGGGCCTGAGAGCAATATCATGGTGTCACAGAAAGAGTGACTCTATCATTGTTTCTTGTCCTCTAAAATGTTTTCAGCTTATTTTGACTAGTGTGGTGCAGCAGATACTCAAGTTTTTGAGAAAGCATTGAATTATAGAGAATTTAGAAATTTAAGTAAGAATAGTTATTTAAGTGTAAGAAAATATTTTTTCTGCATAAAATAGTAATCTTTAACAACTATATTAACTGCTTGGAGAACAGAAATTATTGTTTTAGAAATTGTTATTAATTCCTAATAAACTTGTTACATTTTAGTTATATTTTGGAGAATTGGTTGGGGTCTTATTGTTTATATGTAATGCAGAGTATTTTTTAAAATACTATTTCTTTAAAAATTTTTAGTTATAGATGGACACAATACTTTTATCTATTTATTTATTTATTTATTTATCTATCTATCTATTTATTTATTTATTTTACGTGGTGTTGAGGATTGAAACCAGTGCCTCACATGTGCAAGGTAAGTGCTCTTACACTGAGCCAAAACCCAGCCCCAGAGATTTTTTTTCCTAAAATAAAGGAGGAAAAAAACTCTTTAGTATGAAGTATCTGAAGGAACGATTTCCTGCAATTAAAGTACTGTACAGTATAAAGAAAAAAAAAACAATGTTTCTAAATTATTTTATAAGAATTTCAGTAGAAAACTTAAGGCCATTCTTCCTCATTAGTTTTAATGCAAAGATTATACATAAAGATAAAAAAGAGCACTAAAAGAAAAAAATATAGAAAAACCAAGAGCGATTTATTCGAGAAATGCAGAAAGTAAAAATATCCAGTATTATCTCAATTATAAATCATATATTATGAGGTTAAAGAAGTAAAGATTTTGCCATATAATACAAAAGATATTTGAAAAATTAAACATCCATGTGAAATTTTTTGATGCACAAACAGTATGCTTAGTGGTGTAACATTACAAATATTCCTACTAAAGTTATGAGTAACTCAATCACTACCACTATTTGAAATCATCTGTAAAGTGCAATGAAATTTAAATAAGACAATGAAATGAGCATCAAATATTTTATGTTTTGCAATGATAGTTTGAGTTCTTTTTTGGGGTGTGGGGTACAGGGGATTGAACTCGGGCATTCAACCACTGAGCCACATCCCCATCCCTATTTTGTATTTTATTTAAAGATAGGGTCTCATTGAGTTGTTTAACACCTCTCTTTTGCTGAGGCTGGCTTTGAACTTGTGATCCTCCTGTCTCAGCCTCCTGAGCTGCTGGAATTGCAGCATGCGCCATGACCTAGTCTAGAGGTCTTGGGAAAAAAAACAACTGAAGTTCAAATGAGAATTCTTTAAGATAGTATTTCAAAAATAAAAATTCTTCATTTAGACAAATAATAGCCAGTAATAAAGTATAACAAAATAAATGATTTTATGTATAAGTATAGCAAATACTCATATATATAAGTAAATCAATCTGGAAAACAATGAAAAAAATGCTTCTCAATTTATAATGAATTTATGTTATTAAATCCATCATCATTTGAAATTCTTTTAATAAAACCACATATGGGATATCACAGTTTAAGTTAAATGAGCTCAGAATACTTACATTAGCCTATGTTTATGCAATATCATTAAACACAATCTATTTTATAAAGAAAGTGTTGAATATTTTATGTAAGTCCTTGACTTTCTTTTTTTTTAATTAAAGTGAAAACATCCATTTTATGCGCATAGTTTTGCACCATCATAAAGACAAAAAAATTGTAAGCCAAACCATCTTGAGTCAGAAATCAATCTGTAACTCTATGGAGAGAATATGAAAATTCACTTAAATACTATAAGTAATTATTTGAATAAGTAAAAATAAATTGAAAGAAAGAACTTTCTCTTATGTTGCCAAACACAATATTTTAAAAATTCAATCCTTCAAAATGAACATGTAAAGTTAATATATTCTCAATATAAAGACCAATATATGCCTTAATATTCTTGTTCCTTTTCTACTCTATTAAAAAATTAAACAAATCTAAAACTCATTCAGATAAAAATCATCATATAAAATATCCAATAATATTTAATGTGTCATGAGTGAAGATTCCCAATAATATATTAAAATATAAAGCTACAGTAATAAAATATTGTATTTCAAGCACCACTACAGATAGATCAATGGATAGGATTAGATAATAGAAAACACATGTAGAGTACATGGGGATTTAGTACATGATGAAATTGTACCATATTATTCAGAACTTTTAAGGTCATAAGTGAAAAAGGAACACAACTCAAACCAGTTGCTTTGGTCTGAAGGTCTGTATTCCTTCTACATTCATAGGTTGAAAGTTGAAACTTTTAATTTGTAATGTGATAGCATTAGGAAGTAGAGTATGGTAGAGGAAATTAGGTCATGAGGGTACAGGCCTCATATAGTATTAGTATCCTTTATTTTAAAAAAAAAGGCCCTAGAGAGCTGCCTTGCCCCTTCTACCATATGAAGACTCAGAAAGCACAACCTATTAACTAGGAAATAGATCCTTACCAGACACCAAATCTTCTGTGGCTTTGTTCTTAGACCTCTCAGGCTCCAGAATGGTAAGAAATAATTTTTTTGTGATTTATTACCTACCTCGTCTATGGTATTTTGTTACAGAAATCTGAATGGGACTAAGACACTAGGCCAAAGGGGAACTTTTTTAGTTAATGGAACCATACCAGGCAAATATAAGATTTGTAGCTGTATCAACAGAAATCAAGGATTCTTCTTTCTGTAACAGTATGTAATAATTGTCACAGTTCCTGGCCTGTAAAATTATAAACAACAAATATCTGTTAATTGTATGCACAGATTAAAGAGCAGTCTGGAATCCAGAAGAAGTAATGGAGAAATGCAGTGGCAGGTATAAAGTGGAACTTGATTCTCAGGCTCAAGACAATTACAAGGATAGGAAAGGCAGCAGAATACAACAGACACTAGTATGGCAATATGTAAATTAGTGGATGTGTAACTGAGGTGATTCTGCAATCTGTATACGGGGTAAAAATGGGAGTTCATAACCCACTTGAATCAAAGTGTGAAATATGATATATCAAGAACTATGTAATGTTTTGAACAACCAACAATAAAAATTTAAAAAATAAATAAATAAAAAATAAAAAATGGAAAAAAAAAGACAATTACAAGGTTAGAAGCAAGATTGTGTTCAAATTGTTAATGGCTCAGAGGACACACAAAACAGGGAACAGAAGAGAAAAAAACTAGGTAAATTCTGGGTGAAGTTTGAGATATAGAATTTGAGGGAGAATGTAGTAGGAGAAATAAATCTACAGATGCACAGGGTGTGATTTTAAAAGTGGCAAGTTTAAAGTACAATTTGGAAAAAAAATCACATAGAAATAAAAAAACAAATAATAATTTTGAGTTGAATGAATTCTATCAAGAAAGAAAATTACTCAGTTATAATAAGGAAATTTTTAAAAAGAGTAATATTTATTAAATTCTTATTATGATTCAGATAAATTTCTAAGGTATTCAGCAATTAGTAATAGCCAAATAAGATTGACAATGTTATCATTCCCTCCCATTTTATGCATAATAAATAAAAACTCAGAGGGTTAAAATATTGTTCAAGATCACATGGTTAATAAACAGAGACCTGAGTTGTATCTGAATCCAGAGCTGATGGATATAAACTCTACAATGAACTTAATTGTGTATGTATAAATTTGAAAGGAAAACTAAATTAATTTAAAAAAATAATTTATTTTAAAGTGATATTACATATATTCATATGCATATATATGTATATATGCATATGTGTGTATCACACCAAAACACTAGCACATATAAATTTTCATAATATATTTTTGTAAATAAAATTTAATATGCTTGCACTTCTGCTCTCCTGGTTGATAAGGAATATTGTCATATTCATTTTGAGGTCTTCTTGCCATAATATATCCATGTACTCATACAAAATTGATGGGCTTCTGTGGTCAGAAAACTAGGGAAGATATCCAGTCATTATTTCAAAATTGTTGCCATTTTTACTATTGCTCTTTTGCCCACGTTGATGATATTTTTAAATTCTGATAACTACTATCTATATGGTGGGCCCTGGGGTTTCATACTAACTCAGACTTGATTCTTAAAGGCCTCCATTCATCACAGACTCAGTCCTATTAGCTTTTTCTCTTGTTTTTCGAAATTTAGCATTCACAATTATAAGAACAGAATGCACAAAATGTCTTAAGTTCCCTATTAGCAAAGGGAAGTAAATGCCCCTCTACTTCCCTTGAAATCTCAGACCACTACCTCTGAAATACTTTTTTCTTTATAGGTGAACAGTACCTATTTTTGTCTTATCTCAGGTTAAGAATCTTCTTGGGAATCTTCAATTCTGTATTGTAGTTCAAACCGGTGAACATCCTTAGAAATTCACTCCTCTACTCAACAACTACTTCCACCTCTCTCTTCTCTAATTTGTTTTTAAAAGTTGAAAACAGTTGGAGGGAGGAGTTTAGTTTCCATCAGGCTGAGCTCACAGTGGAGAATTTACTTACAGCAGCCCCTTCCTGGGCCTGTTCATACTGGACCCAAGCCATGCTCCCTAGGACTATGGTTTTCTGGCCAAGGCCAAGTCTCTACAGTCTCTAGCCTCAGCGTCAATGCATAAACCTTTCAGCCAGTCCTCTGGTTGGTATTTAAAAACCTGACCTGAACAGAAGCTTATTCTAAACTACTCAGACATTTAGCCACAGCACTGAACATTTTTTTGAGTTTCAAATAGCTTCAAACTCAAGACTAATCCCAGTTACCAAAGTTACTGTTCCATGACCTCAAATATCTTCCATTCCTCTAGCAGGGAATCTCTCCAAATCTCTTAGCCAACACAGAAATTTTACCTACTTCAAAAATATTCAGTTTGTGGACTTCATCACTTTTTCAACAATAGTGCCCTCTTCCCAACTTCCAGTCATACAATTTCATCCCATACATAAATGATATTTAGACTTCCAGGTAATGAGTTTCCATAAAATAGATAGAGCTTTCCAAATGATTTGTTTAAATTTTGGTCAGAAATATAGTTTTCATTATGATGTGTTACAAAAAGTTTTATATGTGTGCCGCAGTCTGGCTGGGCACAAAATCACGAGCCACTCACAGCCTTATAGATTCAAACAGCAATTCTTTATTCCTGAACTGTCACCGGCACACTACACGCACGTCTGGGGAAAAATTCACACCCCCACTCGGCTCTGCATCCCAAAATACTCTCTGAATCCCGCGAGAACTCAACGGGAACTCAAGGAGCTGGAGGGCACCTGAGGCAGCAGGATACTCCCTATTCCCAGCAGGATACACCCTAAAACTGGACCCACCCTAATCCAGCAGGATCCTCCCTAAACCCAGATCCACCCTGGTCCTTGAGCAGGGTCACCTTTCTCAAACATTCATGCAATGTCACTGCAAATGACCTGGGTCCAAGGCAAGCCCATTTCCACAATGGAGAGTCCTCCCTCTAAGCAACATTGGGTAGGCTGACAAAGAAATTGCCATGCGTCATTCCTACTTGGCAATGGCTCTCAGCATCTCCTCCCTTCTGAATAATTAAACAACAAGCAATGTGGCTAGGGACCGTGCCTGTTAGGTTGTCCAATTCAACATATGGTTCTTACCCGTCATCGGATGAACTGACCTCTAGGCGTCAGCCTCCTGTCTTAGGTTGATACCACTGCAATTGGATCATACCTGTCACTAACTACCAGTCTAGCATACAGCCATACTGTGGACAGGCCTATGCACCAGTGGGGGGGTGAGGTTCTTTGCCTTACCTCTGTTGGCCCCCAAATTTGGCCTTGGTGCCAGTGTGGGGGTGAGTTTCTTTGCCTCACCTCTGTTGGCCCCCAAATTTTAGACCATCACTAGCAGAAGGGAGGAGAATACAGAAATGCCATGACACCAAGCCAATTGACGGCTCCTTTGGAAAAATTGCATCACTGGTGACACCATCAGCAAAGATATGCCAGCACTACCACAATTTGCTGCACCAAATGATAGTTCACAATGTATACAAGTGATACATAGTCCAGGCAAGTTCTGCAAGCAGTTCAAAGTGGAGAAGTCTATCAATATGTCCATTTCCTCCCAAAGTAAATCGACTCCTTGATTGAGCATTACTTGTTGAGTTAATTCATTGATGCATCAGTTTATACAGTTTACTGTGATAGCTATCATAGAAGCTGTAGTTTGGTTTTATCTTTGTCTTCACCGGCACTGGGATGAAGATAGGAATTCTGGCAATGATGCTAAAGAGACATTATCCTGAACAGAATTATAAAATATAATGAAAAGGAAAGGTGAAAGTAAACAAACAGATCTGTTAACCTCCTTTAAAAACAATCCTTAACAGCTGTTTACCTAATTTAAATTAAACCATTTAAATCACGTGAATAAAAAAAAAAATTCGGACCCATTTTTTCATGAGCGCTCCTCATATATGAAATATGGACATACGCACATACAGACATACAACACAAAACACAAGAGTGCACACAAACGTACAACACATAAGACAATAGCAAAGGCCTTGTAGCTTTACCTAGGTGAAATCTCCATTGCAATGTTTAAAAACTCCACAGCCAAAAAATAAAACTGCTCAGAAAAACATTAACCTAGGTTTGTATGAGCTCAAAAAATAAAATAGAACTTTATGATGTGGGAAAATGCAATAATAAAATAGATATTGAAAAAAGCATCCTGGTTAATCACTGTCGCAGATGTAAGAATAGCCAAGCTGGAGCTCTGGATATCAGCTGTTATGGATTTGAGTCAAATCATCTTCTTTTTGGTCTGTAGAAATTGCTTTGGTTAGTCTCTCTGGAATCCAAATCGGCTGCTGTTCTCCCTGTGGAAACACACAAACAGAACTCTGACTCCAGACAATCACTGGGTCAGAACCTTTCCATTGTCCTGTTAGAATATCTTTCCAAAGTACCTTAGGCTTATGTACATTTTTTGGATACATATATCTTTCCGCAGCAGTAAGTCCTGATGAATCCAAATTTAAAAAGTTTAGAGTAAAAAGGGTTATTTTAAGTTTATCTTTGGGGGATATATACCCCTTCCGAATTCCCTCTTTTTGCTTTAATAAATACATTTTAATAGTTTGATGAGCTCTTTCAACTATGCCTTGGCCCTGTGGATTGTATGGGATTCCTGTTAAGTAAAACATTAACTGATTTTTCTTCAGAGATGATGTTCCAAAATATCCTATATGCATCCTTTGGAAATTTAAAGATCCTTTTAAATTCAAGACTTCCAAAAGCATTTGCCTTAGTTTTTAGAGTTACTTTAGTCCTTTTAATTTTTTGATGTGGTTTTAAACCAATTTCCTTCTAGTTTAACGTTTTCTAAATTGGCTCTTGTCTATAAATTTTAACACCCTCATCTGAGACTTCTAATTTCTGCACCAGCAGAAATTAAAGTTGATGGACTTTTTGAAAAAATTATTAATAATCTCCTTATCTTCTATTTTATCCAATATTTGAGTGTAAACTTCTCTCTTCTACCTTTTTCTATCTTGAATGTCTGTATCTAATAGTTGTCTTAGCTTTTTGTATTTTTTATCTGAAATACCTTTATTTGACATTTTTAACCATTTTTTATCTTGTTTTTATCTTCTAGTTTTCTTCTAAGGTTTGTATATTCACCCTTAGTTGCTTGCCTTTTTTTTCCCCTCTTTTTTTTTTTGCTTCCTATTTTGTGCATTTAAAATTCTTGTCTTCCTACATCTTTTTTATCTTCCTATATCTTCTCTATCTTTTTTTTTACCTTTCTGTACTTCTGTCTTTAAAGTTTTCCACTTCAAATTTTTAATCTTCTTTATCTAAATATCTTTTATCCTATTATCTTCCCATTTTCATGGGTTTTTTTTTTAAGTAATGCTTTTAAGATTAACAAGGCTTCGAATGACGCAAATTTTCCTCCATCATGAAGGCATCTTAACCACCTTCAATTTAACCTTTTAAAGCCTTTTGCAACGTACTTAGACATTTTACAACTTTTTACTTTAGCACACAAAGATTATCTCATCTAAAAACATTTCTTTTTCTTATAACCTTCCATATTAAAATATATTTCCACATCTTGAATCTTTTTATATCTCTTTTTTCTTTTTTCTGCCATGAAGGTATCTCAACCACCTTCAATTTATATACTATGTATATAATGATGATGATAGTGGAATAGTATGGGTACATTAAATTTCTCTCAATTTACTGAATTAGAAAAAGGAAAAGTTAGAGTGAGAAATTAGAATAATTCGGACACCCAGCAAACTGAAGAAATTAAAACTTTTTCTTTTTGCTTTTTAAGCAATTCCAGTGGTCTAATAGACTCCATCTACATGTTTTCAGTTGGTTTCTTTCATTCATTTGAGGTTAACTTTGCAATCAGTGTTTTTTTTTTTAAGTTCTGTTTTAGCTTAAGAGTGCTTGATATTTTCAAGTGGACAATTCCAAAGTTGTTAAACAATTTTTTGAATTTATCACGAATAACCAAATGTTTATGTGTGCACATACAACCACTCAAATGCATGAATGAAGAAAGAACAAAAGAAGAGATAAAAAGGAAAGAAAAAAAACTTATCTTACAGTTAGAATGTGTGTGAAGAAACCCAATTGTTGATATTGCTGTTTCAGTTGCTTTTAAGTTTACATTGCATTTGTTAATAATTTTTGCTGAGTTATTTTGCAGTAACAAACAACACTGGCATCTTAGCAGCAACTATCTAACAACCATAAAGATTTATAAATATTTCTTGCTCTTGTTACCTACACTTCAGCTATGGCTTTGTTTCATACTGTTTTTGTTGCAAGACCCTAGATGAAAGAGCAACCTCATCTTATTCTCATGGCAGATGAAGGAAAGCAATGTTAGAATCATGTAATGCTTATGAAGTTTGCAGTCAGCTATTATGTATCATTTTTATTCACATTGCACTTGTCTAAGTTATTTACAAGTCCAAACCATGCATGAAGCCAAGTACAATCACTCTCTTAGAGAGGGGCACTGCACATCACATGGTAATGGACAATAATACATTCACATACTCTCCCCAGATCTGGGAGAAAACAATTAGTACTAACAGTGTAATCTCCCACAAACAAAATCTGTCAACATTTTATTTTTTCTAAAGTTTATTAAGATACATTATAGAGTGAATGGGAATTGGGGCTAGTTTATTTTCTCCATTAAAAGCATAATGTTGGGCCCTTTATTCTAACTTATAATTCCAAAGAAGAAGAAAAAAAAGGGAAGAAAAGGGAAGAAAAACCAGTATCCAAAAATTTTAGAGAACTTTTATTCAAAAACCAAATACTACTCCTGTTGCTACTTTACTATGAATTGCCATGATCTAGTGAATGAAATCTTTTGCATTATATAATCTTTTGTATTATATGCAGCAGGAGAATAATGATCACATTGCTTTTCTCTATTTTTCTACCAATGAAGAGGGTATATTGAAAATAGTGCAGAAAACAGATATCAAACCAAGTGGGACTCTGTACTCAAATATCTCCTTTGAACATTAAAAGAGGTGGAACTGAGTATCCCACAGATATGCCAGAGATAATTAAGTCAATCTTCATCAATAACATGTTAGTCTTACCTGCACTAAACACTAGCTGAGGAAAAAATAACTAATTTTATTAGCACTGATTCATTCCAATAATAAAAAAAACTTTCTATTTCTAAATAGAAATGGAAAGGAATCTTGAGAATTATAGATATTATAGATATTTCTTAGCTTTAGGAAACATTCAAGTTCAGTTCTACCTTTTTGTTTCTGGAAGAATAAGACTTATTTTTAAAACAAATATGAATCGATTTTCTGCTTTATATAAATATCATCTCAGTAGTTTTTAACTTTGCAAACTTTTTTTAAACTATATGTCTTCATTCCCACTCAATGATATAGCCATTTTGTTTATAAAATGCATAATTTCTTTAGAACAAAAATTTAAAACTTTAGGTCTATTAAGGGAGGGTTATATATTATTTAACTTGATATTTATTTATCTTTATCTAGATAAAATATCAATTCTCTAGATTCTATTTTACACAAACCAATTCAAAATTTGTTGCAGAAATTTATGTATTTTCTAATTTCTTAAGGGGTGAGAAAGTCTACCCTCAGACACAAAGGATGCTAATAATAAGAAAGTATACAAAGCATTGACCAACCATTAAAGATTTAGGTGCTGCCTCTTGCAAAAAGAACATGGTAGAGCAGATAACAAATGTTGTAATTTTTTTTTAATTGAAAGGAGCATGTTTCATTTTAAAACTAAAATATAAAATGTGCTATAAAAGAAAGAACTCTAGCAAGTCAAATATTAATAATCCTTAAAATTGTGCAACAGACTTGTTTGTATTCTACTTGTTTTCTAAACTATTCTTTATCAGTGTTTCCTCTAGAAATTAAAATCTGTGCTCATAGTAGTATCATCATGGATAGCATCATGTTAATTAGTTGCTAGATTCTTAACACTGTCAAAAGGATAACGATTAGTACCTTTTGTACCTTTTATGAATTTTTTAAGCAATTAACATTCTTTTAATCACTAAAAAATTATTATTCTTACAGCAATAATATGTACATTTTAACAAATGATGTAGCAAAAATTAGATCTCCAGCGACAATATAAATAAAACTTTTAAAACCTGAAATATATTAAAACAATTAACTCAAAATACATAATAGATTTAACTGCAAGAGGCAAAACTTCAAAACTTTTAGAAGAAAATAAGGTGAAATATGGGCAAACAGTCCGTATGCCCCAAAAGTGGATTTTTCTGGAAGCCCTAGAGGTTTAGAAGCCAGCAGAGATAGGAAGTGCCACACCAATAGGGGTTGTGAACCAAATCTCAAATACCCACCAACAGAATTTTAAAAGCCACTGAAGTCCAAACCACAACTGAAAACTCCAGTCTAAAATTCTGCAACTCCCCTACTAGAGAATTGCACAATTCATCAGCACTCTCCAGTCCATTCCACCCAAAACTGGGAGATTTGAAGTCCAGAATTATACCAGATTGGCAGCTACGTAAGTAACATAAGAACTGTGACTCAAGAAAATAAATATAAAGACTGCAAATACATCCCTGACAATAGATTTGACCACCACAGTAAAAAGAAGCCCTCTATCTTATGTTAAAACTTTTTTTCTTATTTAGTTTTTCCTCCGTATTCCGCTTCTTTTTACTCTTTTCACATTTTAATTATTTTTCAATTTTTCAAACAACATCTCATTGCATTGTATTATTCACCTTTTCATTGTGGATGATTTTGTGTGTGAATGTGTATGTATGGTATATGGTTGTATATGCTCTCATTGAATGGATAGTTTTGAACACACACTCACAAACACATAATGTATTCATATACTTTTGATTATTAATACAATGAACAATATAGCAGACACATGCCATTGAATGTCTGATCAAGTTCATGGCTTTTTATTGTTAGTACTGCTGTTAAATGCTGACCTCACCATTCATACATAGGTTATAACAAGTGTTACAGATGTAAAGGAGACAGCAGACAGTTATCTTAAGACTGTACTATTGTGGACATTAGTTCCATTAGTTCTAAGAGGGGCTGGAAAGAGATTGAGACATTTCAGGATCATAGAATAGAGATCCTGCTGGTGAGAAATATTTACATCCTAACCAAGCAAGAATGATTCTCACCCAAGCATAATCTAGTCCCAAATTAGCCTTAAAATTATTTCAACCAGAATTACTGTGGAGACAAAAGCCCCAAACCAACAACCAGCCAGGACCTAAGGAGGAACAATCAAAGAGGGACCTCAGGTCCCACCATTTGAAATGTAATCATATATCAAAAACAGAGAGACATCCCAGAAAAAAGTAAGATAATTACACAACAAAAGATGTGTGAAAAAGTGGAAGGGATTCCATCAGCCAAAGCATAAGTCCAGGACTTCTGAGAACACAAGAAAATAGGCAAACAAACCCACCTCAAAAATTCACAATCCTCTATCTAAGGATTCCACTGATATTAAAGTGAACAAAATCCTAGCAAAGATCATAAAAAACTGAATATTAAAATGTTAATTAACAAAAGATCTAAGAAATCAATTAAGACAGCATATACAGGAGATGAAAGACCACTTCAATAAAGAAACAAACATTGAAAGGAAACCAATCAGAACTCCTAGAAATGAAAGACACACTCAATCAAATTAAAAACTTTCTAGAAAGCATCACCAACAGATTAGACTGCATAAAAAAATAGAACTTCAGCCCTTGAAGACAGAATTTCATGCCTTCAAGAAAGGGTATGTGCACTTGAGTACACAGAATTAAATAAAGGGAAAATGATAGAACATGATCATAATATACAAGAACTCTGGAACAACATCAAGAGACCAAACCTAAGAATCCTTGGAATAGAAAAGAACATGGAAATACAAACTAAAGGCTCTAAGAACATTTTCAATGAGATGGTTATGGAAAACTTTTTTCCATCTCAGAAATGAGATAGACATCCATATACAAGACTCCAAATACACATAATCAAATAAGAAGTTCCTCAAGACACATCATAATCAAAATGCTTGACATGAAAATAAGGGAAGAATATTAAAAACTGTAAGAGTGAAACATAATTTTATCATTTAGGGGCAAATAGTAAGGCTCATGTCTGATTTCTCAATTCAGACCCTAAAATCAAGGAGGGCTTAGAATGAGATATACCAAGATGTAAAAGAAAGAAACTGGTAGCCAAGATTACTATATCCACCAAATTTCAGTTTCAGTTTCAAATTTCAGGGAAAGTGAAAAATTTCCATGAGCATAAATTAAAAGAAAAATAAATAAATAAATAAAGCACACATTAAATAAGATAAAATAATAAATTAAAAGAATTCATGAACACCAAGCCAGCACTGCAGAGAATACTCAAAGATAAAATGCACACAGAGGAACTTAAAAACAAATCCCAAAGCTCCCAAATAGAGGAAGTTCAACAGAATAGAATCAAGAAAGTATTAAATGTAGCAAAAAATCCAAATGGAAGGAAAGCACAAACACATATCCATATTAATACTGAATGTTAATGGTCTCAACTTGTCATTTGAAATACATATATTAGCAGAATAGATCCAAAAGCAAGATCTAACTACATGCTGTTTATAAGAGACTCAGCTTATCGTCAAGCAACTACAGGATAAGAGTAAAAGATAGAAAAATACTCCACACAAATGGAGGAGTAGCTGTTCTCATACCTGACAAAGTACATTTTAAGCAAAAATTAATCAGAAGAGACAAAGAAGACCACTACATCCTGGTAAAGGAAAAACTTCAACAAGGAGATATAACAACAGTAAATATTTATGCTCCAAATTCCAGTGAACCCAATTACATTTAAAAAAAGAAAAATACTCTATGACATTATATCCCAGATAGACCCCAACACAATACTACTGGGTGATTTCAACACACCTATCATGAATAAACAGGTTATCAAAACAAAAAATAAATCATGAAATTTCCCTAAATAAACCTATAAATTAAATGGATCTAACAGACATATAGGATATTTAGTCCAAAACAGCTGAGTTTACCTTCTTCTCAGCAGTTCATGGAACATTTTTCCAAAATAGACCTCATTCTAGGTCTCAAAGTAAATCTTGGAAAATTAAAAAAAAAGATATAATTTCATGCATCCTATCAGAACATAATGGAATAAAACTAGAAATCCACAGCAAAAAAAAAATAATAATAGAAATCACATAAATACAAGAAGATTGAACAATACTCTCTTAAAATGAAGAATACATCAAAGAATAAATAGCAAGAGAAATAAAGACTTTCTTAAAAATGAACGAGAAGAGAGATGCAACATATCAAAATCTCTGGGAAAGTATGAAAGAAGTTCTAAGAGGAAAATTCACAGTTCTAAGTACCTACAATTTTAAAATATAGAGATCCCAAATAAATAAGCTTATTCCCTACCTTAAGATCTTAGGAAAAGAACAAATTCCAAAATCAGTACAAGAAAGGAAATTATTAAGATCAGAGCTGAATTTAATGAAATTGAGAATAAAAACACAATACAGAGAATCAATGCAATGAAGAGTTTGTTCTTTGAAAAGATAAATAAACTCTTAGCCAAAGTACCCAAAAGAAAGAGAAAAGACCCAAATCAATAAAATTAGGGATTGAAAAGTAGATTCAGACTCTTGGAGAATCTTTAGAATACATTTTGAAAAGCTATTCTCCAATGAACTGGAAAATTCAGAAAACATTGACAAATTTCTAGATTTATCACACATATGGCCTGTCCAAATTGAATCAGGAATATATAGAAAAGAAAGACCAATATCACATAATGAAATTGAAATAGCAGTTAAAAACCTTCCAAATAGAGAAAAGCCCAAGACCAGATGGATTCTCAGCTGACTTCTATCAGACCTTTACAGAAGAACTAACACTAGTCTTTTTCAAATTATTCCATGAACTTGAAAGGGAGAGAACACTTCCATACACATTAAGTAAATATAACCCTGATACCAAAAACAAAGATGTATCAAGTAAAGAAAACTACTGACTGATATCCCTAATGAAAAGAAATGTAAAAATCCTTTATAAACTATTATCAAACTGCATTAAAATACACATCAGGAAGATAATATACCATGATCAAATGCAGTTCATTCCTGGGATGCAAGATTAATTAAACACACAAAAATCAATAAATGTAATTCACTGGTTAAACAGAATTAAGGACAAAATCACATGATCATCTCAATGGATGCAGAAAAGGCCTTGGATAAAATTGAGCATCGATTCAAAAATGCTAGAGAAGCCAGAGGTTGAAGCAACTTATTTCAGCATCACAAAGGATATTTATGACAAACCCAAAACAAACATCATACTGAGTAGAGAACAACTAAAAGCATTTGCTCTAAAATGAAGAACAAGAAAGGGCTGTCTGTCTACTTTAACCATTGCTATTCAATGCAGTCATTGAAACATCAGCCAGAGTGATCAGGTAAGAGAAGGTATTCAGGCAAGAGAAGGCAATCAAAGGGATACAAATAGTAAAAGATGTCAGAGTATCTTTGCTGATGACCAGATCCTATATATAGAAGACCCAAAAATTCCTCACCAGAAGACTTCTAGGGATTATAAAGGAGTATAGCAAAGTAGCAGGATACAAGATTAACACCAATAAAGCAATAGCTTACCTATACTCCAACAGATCCAACTGGGAAGAAATCAAGAAAACCATCTCACTCACAATAACCTGAAAAGAATATTTGGGAATTAATATAACCATGGAGGTAAAATATTTTTACAGTGAAAATTATAGAACACTGAACAAAGAAATTGAACAATAGCTTATAAAATGGAAAGAACTACCATGTTCTTGGATAGACAGAATTAATATTGTCAAAATGGTCATACTTTCAAATGCATTATTATACAGATTCAATGCAATCCTTATCAAAATGTCAATGACATTCTTCACAGAATTAGAAAAAAAATCCTTAAATTTATTTGGAAGATTTTAAAGAGATCCAGATTAGCCAAAGCAATACTAAACAAGAAAAGCAGTATTGAAGGCATCAAAATACCTGATTTTTACTCTAGGTACACATGTGATTGCACAAATGGTGAGACTCTACATTGTGTAAAACAAGAGAAATAAAAAGTTGTGCTCCATTTATGTACAATGAAACAAAATGCATTCTGCTCTCATGTATAACTAATTAGGAAAAAAATAGCTGATCTGAAATTATACTACAGAACTGTTGCAACAAATACAGCACAGTCTTGGCATTAAAACAGACATGAATGCTTTATATATCCTAGAGATTAGTGCTCTATCTGATGTGTTTGTGGTAAAGATTTTCTCCCATTCTGTATTCACCTCAGATCATTTATTCTGTTGAGAAGAAGCTTTTTAGTTTGAATCCATCTTATTTATTGATTCTTGATTTTAATTCTTACACAATAGGAGTCTCATTAAGAAAATTGGGACCTAATCTGACATGATGGAGATTTGGGCCTACTTTTTCTTCCATTAGGCACAAAATCTCTAGTTTAATTTCTGGATCCTTGATCCACTTTGAGTTGAGTTTTGTGCATGGTTAGAGATAGATGTTTAATTTCATTTTGTTACAGGTGAATTTCCAGTTTTCCCAGCACCATTTGTTGAAGAGGCTATGTTTTCTCCAATGTACATTTTTGGCATCTTTGTCTAATGTAGATAACTGTAATTATGTAGGTTAGACTCTTTGTCTTCTATTCTGTACCATTGGTCTACAGGTTTATTTTGGTGCCAATACAATGCTGTATTTGTTACTATTGCTCTGTAGTATAGTTTAAGGTCTGGAATAGTATTGCCACCAGCTTCACTCTTATTGCTAAGAATTGTTTTGGCTACTCTGGGTCTCTTATTTTTCCAGATGAATTTTAGGATTGCTTTTTGTATTTCTATGAGAAATGTCATTGGGATTTTGATTGGGATTGCATTGAATCTGCATAGTGCTTTTGTTAGTATGGTCATTTTGACAATATTAATTCTGCCTATCCAAGAACATGGTAGAAATTTCTATCTTCTATGGTCTTATTTAATTTCTTTATTTAGTTAGTTGTAGTTTTCATAATAAAGTTCTTTCACCTCTTTAAGTTTATTTCTAAGATTTTTTTGAGGCTATTGTATATGGGGTAGTTTTCCTAGTTTCCCTTTCAATGGATTTGTCACTGATGTACAGAAATGCCTTTGATTTATGGGTGTTCATTTTATATTTAGCTACTTTGCTGAATTCATTTATTGGTTCTAGGAGATTTCTGGTGGAATGTTTTAAGTCTTCTAGGTATAGAATCATATCATCTGTAAATAGTAATAATTTGAGTTCTTTCTTTCCTATCTGTATCCCTTTAATTTCTTTTGTCTGTCTAATTGCTCTGGCTAGAATTTCAAGATCTATAGAAGTGGTGAAAGAGGGCATTCCTGTCTTGTACCAGTTTTTAGACAGAATGCTTTCGTTTTTTCTCCATTTAGAATAATGTTGGCCCAGGGCTTAGCATAGACAGCCTTTACAATGTTGAAGTATGTTCCTGTTATCCCTATTTTATCTAGGATTTTTAACATGAAGGGATGTTTTATTTTATCAAATGCTTTCTCTGCATTATTGAGATAATCATATGATTTTTATCTTTTAATCTATTGATGTGATGAATTACATTTATTGATTTCTGTATGTTGAACCAACCTCACATCCCTGGAATGAACCCTACTTGATCATGGTGCACTATCTTTTTGATATGTTTTTCTATTTGATTTGCCAGAATTTTATTGAGAATTTTTCATCTATATTCATTAGAGATATTGGTCTGAAGTTGTCTTTCTTTAATGTGTCTTTGTCTGGTTTTGGAATTAGGGTGATATTGGCCTCATAAAATGTGTTTGTAAGTATTTCCTCTTTTTTACATTTCATGAAATAGTTTGAGATGTATTGGTGTTTGTTCTTCTTTATAGGTCTTGTAGAACTCAGCTGTGTATCCATGCAGTCCTGGGATTTTTTGGTTGGTAGGCATCTGATGACATCCTCTATTTTCTTGCTTGAAATTGATCTGTTTAAATCTGTTTAAATTGGGTATATCATTTTGATTTAGTTTGGGCATATCATATGCTTCTAGAAATTTATGAATGCCTTTGACATTTTCTATTTTATTGGAGTACAAATTTTCAAGTAATTTCTAATTATCCTGTGTATTTCTGTAACCTTAACATCAAAACAAACAAACAAACAAACAAAAGAACCCAATCAATAAAAGGGCCAAAGATTTGAACAGACACTTCTCAAAAGAGGATATATAATCAACCAACAAACATATGAAAAAATGTTCAACATCTCTAGAAATTAGAGAAATGCAAATCAAAACTACTCTAAGATTTTATTTCACTCCAGTAAGTATGGCAACTATCAAGAATACAAACAACAATAAGTGCTGGCGAGAATGTGGGGAAAAAGGCACACTCATACTTTGCTGGTGGGACTGCCAATTGGTGCTGCCAATCTGGAAAGCAGTCTAGAGATTCCTTGGAAAACCTGAAATGAAACCACCATTTGACCCAGATATCCCACTCCTCGGTTTATACCAAAAGGACTTAAAAACAGCATACCACAGAGCACAGTCATATCAGTGTTTACAGCCACACAATTCACAATAATTAAATTGTGGAACCAACACAGATGTCCTTCAGTAAATGAATGAATAGGGAAACTTTGATACACACACACACACACACACACACACACACAATGGAATATTACTCAGTATTAAAAGAGAATAAAATCATGGTATTTTCAGGTAAATGAATGGAATTGGAGAATATAATGCTAAGTGAAACAAGCCAATCCCTAAAAAACCAAAGGCGAATGTTTTCTTTGATATGAGGATGCTAATTCATAATGGCAATGGGGTGGGTAGCATGGAAGGGAATGGAGAAACTTTATTAAGGGCAAAGAGGAGGAAGGGGAAAGGAGGGGAGAAAGGGATAGGAATGATGGTGGAATGAGTTAGACATCATTACCCTAAGTACATGTAAGAAGACACAAATATTGTGAAAACACTTTGTGTACAACCAGAGACTTGAAAAATTGTGCTCTATGTGTGTAATATAAAATGAATTGCATTTTGCCATCATTTATAACAAATTAGAATAAGTAAATAATTTAATAAAAATAAATAACAACAACAAAAAAGACATGAATACTAATGGAACAGAAGACACAGATACTTATAGCCATCTGATACTTGACAAAGGTACCAAAAAATATACTTTAGAGAAAAGACAGCTTTTTAAACAAATAGTGCTGAGAAAACTGGGTGGTTTTATGTAAAAGAATGAAACTATAATCCTATCTCCCAACCTGCATAGAACTCAAATTAAAATGGATCAAAGACTTAGGAATTAGACCAGAAACCTTGTAACTGATAGAAGATAGACAAAGTCAACACTTTATCTTATTGGTGCTGGCATTGACTTCCTTATCAAGATCCCAAGCCTAAGTCTTTGATTGACTTTGAGTTCAGTTTGGTGCAGGGTGAGAGATAGCGGTTTAATTTCATTTTGTTACATATAGATTTCCAGTTTTCCCAGCACCATTTGTTAAAGAGGCTATCTTTTCTCCAATGAATATTTTTGGCACCTTTCTCTAGTATGAGATAACTGAATTTATGTGAGTTTGTCTCTGTGTCTTCTACTCTATACCATGGGTCTATGTGTCTGTTTCGGTGCCTATATCATGGCAATTTTCTTACTATGGCTCTGTAGTATAATTTAAGGTCGGGTATTATGATGTCTCCTGCTTCACTGTTCTTGCTAAGGATTGCTTTGGCTATTCTAGGCCTTTTATTTTTCCAAATGCATTTCATGATTGCTTTTTCTAGCTCTAGAAGACTCATTGGGATTTTACTAGGAATTGCCTTAAAACTGAATAACAGTTTTGATAGTATGGCTGTTTGACAGTATTAATACTGCCTATCCAAGAGCATGACAGATCTTTCCATTTCTAGGGATCGTAGAATTGGCATTGGATTTATACTCAAAAAAATATATTCTTTTTTTTTTTTGACTCTGATACTACCTGTGTAGTTTAAATTCTCGGTCTCAATTTCCTTATTTATCTTTAAATAATCATTTTCAAAGGTCTTCTAAAATTTTTTCTTTAGTTTTTATTGTAGAGGTTTTTCACTTCTTTTGTTAAATTGATTCCAAAGTGTTTTTTGTTTTTTTTTGAGGCTATTGTAAATAGATTGATTTTCCTAATTTCTCTGTCTGTGGATTCATCACTGATGTATAGGAACACATTTGATTTATGGGTGTTGATTTTATATCCTGCTACTTTGCTGAATTCATTTGTTCTAGAAGTATTCTGGTGGAATTTTTTGGATCTTCTAAATAATTGTGTCATCAGCAAATAGTGATAGTTTGAAAAATTCTTTTCCTATTTGTATCCCTTTAATTTCTTTCATCTGTCTAGTTGCTCTGACTGGACTATGTTGAATAGAAGTGGTGAAAGAGGACATCCTTGTCTTGTTCCAATTTTTAGAGGGAATGCTTTCAATTTTTCTCCATTTAGAATGATGTTGGATTTGGTTTAGCAGATGACATTAAAAGCCTTCCAACCAAGAAAAGCCCTGGGACCAGAAAGATTCTCAGAAGAGTTCTACAAAACCTTCAAAGAAGCATTAACACCAATATTCTTCATATTATTCCAGGAAAAAGAA